GTGACAGCCCTGGTGTCTGAGGAGATGTTTGTTCAACCCCTCCCCAACTCCAGCAATGTTGATATGTTCCTACCCAGCCCCTGGTCCTCACCCTGACTCAGGCCTCTTTGCCTACCCCTACTCCAGGCAGGAAAGGAATAGCCCCCAACTGAAACTTGACCTCTGACCACAGAGCCAATGACAGTTCCTTTTTCTGGAAGAACCACCCTAATCTGCAGCCCCACTCCCCTGGGCATACCAAGGGACAGAATCCTTGAGATAGTTGCCTCCGCGTGCCATGACATCACCACCAGCCTCCACTCTGGAAATGACCCAGGACTGGGAGGTTGGCAAGTGAACCTCCTAAAGAGCCCCATTTGCATTTCTCTGAAGGTGCATATCACTGGCTTCCTGAGTTATCATGGCTACTACCTGTGTTTCCTCCCTACAGGACTGTGCACTTTTGAGCAGAGATCATGTATTAATAATCTTCATATCCCCCATAAGGCCTGACAGAGTTGAACCCCAATAATTATTGAATGGACAACTACATAAATGAAGAAATCGGTATGTATTAGCATTTCCAGGCAGAATTGCCTGGGAATTCCACCTTAAGAAGACGAGATTTGTCCTATTATTGAAGAATTTCCTCCTGACCGTTAAGAGATTCCAGAGGCTAATAACCTTCAGAGTCAAGAGGGTTATTTTTCATTGTCTAACCTAAATTTCTCTAGATGCAACTTCAGTGCATTTTCTTTTTGTCTACCTCCATAGCCACTGGAATTAAAACATTTCTTTGTGAGGGACAATTACTAATTTACTCTTTAGCTTTCTCTTCAACAAATGTGATCCCATGCCTTTATTGTTCCCTCCCTGGGGCCCTATTGTCCAGTTCTTTCCGGGTTCCACTGCTCCTTGGGCTGTTTGCCAAGCTCTCAAAGACCTCCCTCGGCTGTAGAGGCCCACAGATGGTTACTGGACCATCTCTGTGCACAGGACACACCTCTCTGCACCCATAATTCCCAGTCCTCGGTAAACACATGTTCATAGGCAGCCTCCACACCCGGTCATAGACTCATCTCCTCTACCTGTACCCCCTGAGCCCTAGTCCTGTGAATTCTCACACACCTGGATGCACACGCACACACGTAGGACTGGACCACACAGGTTTAGGCTTTCCCCCCCACAGGTGAGCCAAACTAAATGAAGTGTCTGACGCCCTCCCTTTCTCCTCCTCCCCCTCCTTCTGGCCTTCTCCCTTACACTTCCTCCTCCACCCCTCCTCCAACTCTCCTTTCCATTGGCCACAAAGAACCAAGCCTACTTTCTCACCACCTCCACATCCAAGCTGAAGGCAAGCAGTGAACCGAAGTTGGCTCCTCTCTTTCCCTCTTGCCCTCCACCCATGTCCCCCCAAATCCTCAATGCACCTTCCATTTGCCCAGAGCAACACCCATTCTCCATCTTCTTCCCAAACTCTACTCCTCTGGCTGTCGGGAGCATTGGTTTCTTGGGTTTTTACCTTTCAGAAACGAACAATGGGGAAGCAATGGAAACTGACAGACAAAGCCAATGGCAGGTGGGCTGCTGAAATCCTGGGCTGGTGACAACTGCCCAGCTAGCCCAAGGGATTCAGGAACATGAGAGTAGTGTGGTGCTCGCTCACTCATTCATTCATTCATTCAACATATATTTATACAGCACCTACATGTCAGGCACTACTCTACATCAACAAACCTGATTTTACAGAGTGTACGTTCTATGGGAGAAAGAGAAAATAAATAAGTGAAATACATTGGGTGTCAGGTGGTGATACAAGAAGGCAGGAAAGGAAGATGTGGTGCAGGCTGAGGGTGAAATGTGCAATTTTAAATAGAGTGGCCAAAGAAAGCCTTACTTGGAAGGTGACATTTGAACAAAGATGTGAAGGAGATAAAGGAGGAAGCTATGGTGAGACCTGGAAGGATATTGTTCTGGCAGCAGGGACAGGCCTGCAAGTGCAGTGTTAGGAAACACCAGTGTAGAGAGCCATGGAGAGTGAGGTGCCATGCAGAGGTGCTCGACCTCCTGAAAGAGTGCCAGGATTGATGCGGCCAAATTAGGGATGAAACTGCAACAAAATACTAAAACGCGGGCTGGGCGAGTGGCGTGATGGTTAAGAACTGGCTTGGGACTCCAGGGGCCCTGGTTCGGATCCCACATATGAGGGCCAGTGACACTGCCCTCCACAGCTAAGATGCTGAACAACAGCTCAACCTGGAGCTGGGCTGCTATGAGTCGCCAGCGATGGCATAGGCTGCAGCCCCTGCTGCAGTGGGTTGCCATGGGCTACCGTTTGTAGCCAACAGCCAGCGTGAGCAGCCAGCAGCCGCAGTGAGCGGCCGTCCAGAAGCCAGCGACTGATGTGCCTCGCCCGGGAAGAGCGCAATGATGGTGCCAACTTGGGCCAGTGAAGCAACGTCCTCCACAACTAGACTGAAGAACAAAAGGACAGCAACTTGTCTGTTCCCCTTCCCCCAATTCCCCAGCGCTGTTCCCATCCCCCAATTCCCCAATAAAAATCTTTTAAAAAAAAATACTAAAACCCAACAGAAAACGAAATTTTGAGGTGTCAGTGCAGACCATTTCCAGAAGGAAGGAGCTAACCCTGCAGCAAGATGGATTAACAGGAGACACGTAGAGTCCTCACAGAGCTTGTTGGCGGCTGTGGGTCACAATCAGAAGGGAGGCAAGCCCCATGACTGAGCCCCTCTCAAATCCAGTCAACATTTGCTTTGAAAAGTGAGTTCTTTCAGAAAGTGAGGATGGGGCCACTTGAACCATCTCTGACCACATTCAACAAGGCAGTGGCGTGGCTGGACATCACCTCTCAGCCGGCCGTGGCCACACAGACCCTACCTTTCCCTCCCACACTCCCACTTCTTAGCACTTACTATGTGCTAGGGACTGACTATGCAGAGTGCTTTCTGCAGGTGTCTCATGAAATCCTCATAGCAACCCCATGAGGAATAATTATCTTTAGTTTGTAGATGAGGAACACCCACCAGTCCACCACCACTTTTTGTCACCCTATCCTCCTGCAGCCTCTCTTCTTGCTGAGCACAGGCTTAGCCAGGCTCACAAACAGGTTGACCTGGGCTCAAATCCCTGTCCCTCCACTTACTCCTTATGTGACTTGGGGCAAGTTTCTTGCCCCGAGACCTGGTGTGCTCATCTGGGAACAAAATGGGGAAATACAGTAATATCCACCTCATGGACTATTGTGGGAATCTACTGGGAGAAGGCAGTGATTCTGTCTGGGCTCTGTAACATGCTGTGTCTCAGAAAGTTGTGAGGTGTGGCCAATAATTCGTAGCCATAAATAGTTAAATCAGGGAAGGGTGCAAACGGTTTGCTTTTTTAGTATAAATATCAGTGAATTCAATGTTTTCTCTGCAATGATGTCATTCTCCTTCAGTGGCATTCCATAAAGCCTTCCTGAACGGGAGATAAAGGGGTGGAAGGACTAATCCCCTGGGAATTTACACCCTATCTTATCTGAGGGAGTGCAGCCAGCAAGCAAATACCATCTCTCCCTGGTGTGGTGTCAGATCAGGCTGAGGCCCTGGGCTGCCATCTGTATAACTCTGGCAGGGGCCTGGCACACAGTAGGTGCTTCTTGGCAGGGGAGTGGTGGGAGAAAACATGAAAGCTCACTGGTTATTAAACCTGCATAATCTGTCACACACAGGCACAATGTTGGGGCTTTCCCCTCCTAAGGAAACAGATGCCATGAAGCAGAAAGGGGGAGCGGGACAATAGAGGTCAGGCTCCTGGGCTGGCTGATTGGGGGGGGACCTGATGTGAGAGGCTGGCCCAGGGTCACTCAAGTTTTCCCTAGGAGGACAGTGTCTAATAAGAAGGACTTGGGGTAAAGGTGACACCCAGGGGTTGGAAACTAGGGTGGAACATTCACGCCTAGGTGAGCGCTAGGAGCACGAGACAACCTGACTCCAAAATGTATTATCATGGTCCAAGGCCCCCCAGTCTAGAAAGAAGGGAAGCTACGAGGCTTTTCCCAGAATGCAGCTCACAAGTTCATGGGATCAACCAACAAGGCTTCCTCCTTTCAGCCACCACCACCGACTCCCTGCGCATTCCCCATCTTGCTAGTTCTTACTCACCACCGCAACCCCAAGCCTGCCTAAGGGTCCTCCCCAGGCATGAAAGGCTTGCCAGGACTTAAGGCTGTGCCAACAGCCAGCCCCACCCTCCTGCAGTGGCTGAGAAGCTGGTCTGGCTGGAGGGGGCCCAGCCAGGAGCACCTGGCAGGACTGCCCGATTCCTTGGGTTGGTGAATGCCCCACTCCTTGTGGACACTGACCACGTATCCTGCACTATGGCTCCTAGTCCAGGGAGCTGTGAAGGCCTATGCTTTTCTCAAATCCAACCTACTCTTACCTAAACCAAAAGAGAAAGATGGAGAAAGAAACCGAAGATTGGGGTGAGGACTGCAAATGTTCATCTCGAAGCCCTCTTCCCCTGAACCAGCCACTGCACTTCCCCCATATTCCTCCCTTCCCAACAGGGGTCTCAGTGGCCCCAGACACAGCCAGAGTCCATCCAAAAAAAAAGGAGATTCTTTATTTAAATCAACAAACTGAGATTCTTCAAGCCCCAGCCCATAATGGGCAACCCTCCCTCCTCAGTCCCCTCACCCCACCCTTTTGCCACAGCGAGGGAAATGGAAAATGAGAAGCCCAAAAGGCCTCCGCCAGGGCAGGCTGCCTCCAATGTGTGGTGAGCCCAGTTCAGCTGTGGCAGGGGTGGCAGCCACTACAGGCCCCTCCCTATAAATTAAGTCCCTGTAGCCACAGCTGTAAGCGAGGCTTATTTGTGGAAGGAAGGCTGACAGCAACATTGCCAATTCCCAGCCAAGGAATGTATTCAGGGCAGAGATCAGGGGAGAAGAGGTACCGGGAGGACAAAGAGGCCCTAAATATTGGTCCTAGGTGAAAAGGTCAGTTGGTCCAGTTTTTATGGGTTTGAAGAAGGGAATGTATTAGTAAGCACAGAGGGACAGGCCACCATCAAGCACCCCAAGAGGAGATAGGCCAGGCCAGGACTCCACCCTGGCAGAGGGGAGCTTGAGAGCTCCAGAGGGCTCTTGGGAATGTCACTGCTAATATATATATATATATATATTTTAACCATCCACGGGAGGGCAGGGGCAGGGCTGAGGGCACATCAGAGGATCTGGCGTGGCATCCCATAGCCGGTCATGCCTGCCTGAGATGCCCCACGGTTGGTGCCCATCTGTAACCCAATCACGTTCTTGCCCTCTTGCAGCTGGTTGTCCGAAAAGTTCCGAGGGTTCTCCTTGGACTTCCTGGGTAGAGAGGGAGCATTGGTTAGGAGGAGGTTGAGGCTGCCCCAGTAATGTCTTCCCCTGACAGAGTACAGGCTTTGCTGGCGCCAGCTCTGTCCTTGAGAGGCCTGAGCTCTCTGAAGCAACCTCCTTATCTTTCAGAAGGGACATTCCCATGCTGGACGATTAAGTGAGATGAGAAATGTGAAACTGCTTTGTAAAGAGCCAGCTGCTCTTTTCCTAAGGACAGGACTGGCCAGAGCTTAGGCAGGCCCAGCAATACTCACTTAGGAAACCAGTTGGGATCCCCAGAGAAAAGCCCATCGTCCCGGGCTACTGCCAGCCCACCCAGGTTCATCAGCGTCCGCTGCACACAGGCCATGTTCTTTCCTGGGAAGGAGAAGGGGATGTGTTGGCTTCAGCAGAGCTGGGATCCTAGACACCAGGGTTCCACCTTTATCATTAAATCAGCAGGCGCAGTTTCCAAATTCTTTTACCCTTTGTCCCCATATCTTTCTCCATCCCAGCCCCCAACACGACCAACTCCTCCATCACACACACACACACACACACGCGCGCGCGCACTCACATGCACGCACACACTCTTTTCATCCTTAGGGTGCCTGCCCCTTCTCCCTGGTCAAAATGGCCTGCCCAGTCTCTGGTCTTCTGGATGACAGCATCCTGGCCCACCTTCCCAGAGGTCCACAGTCTGGAAGATGTCAGTGGTGTTGATGCCGTAGCGCTCAGCTGCTTGCAGGAACTGAGAAATCTGCTCCATCTGCTTGAAGGCCATGGTGGAGGACTGGATCTTCTTCACTGGGCCCTGCCCCTCAGGGTACAGTCCATTAATGAGCTCACATAGCACCTGGGTGAGGACAGCAGGTTTGCAGAGGTGAGGTCATGCCTACATAGACCAGAATGTGCCACTCTCAGCGCCAGAGACAGTGAATCACGAGGTTCCTCTCCTACCTGAACATACCTGGAAGAAGCCTCAGGCTCTTACCGCCCAACCCCTGCCTCTGAGCTCAGAGTGAAAACCTTCATCATCTAAAATCACTGACTAGATTATACCCCTGACAGTTCTTTCTTTAAAGCATTTTGTGTCATCTAGGGCATTCCACAGCAGGGAGGCCCAACCGCCTCCCATCCCAACTCCACACCACTTGATGGGAGGGAAGAAAGCAGGGTCCTCTCTCACGGCTCCAGAAGCTGAGATAGTCATGCCCTCAGTTCTTCAGGTGAAACAATCCCCAGACCCCCCAGGCCCAGCCTTGCTCTCCCGACACTTCCAGTTGGAGGGGCCCAGCTCTCACCGTGCCATCCTTGAGCCAGTTCTGGAAGTTCTCACGCCCCGGCTGGGGCCGGCCCACATCCCTGCGGCACTGGGCAGTGATCCACTGGATCAGGATTTGCTCTAGGTCCGCATCGTACTGTTTCTCAATCTTCTGCTGCACCTCCCGGCTCAGGCCATAGGCAGGTCCCCTGTTGGCCATTCTAAAAGGGTGGTGGTGGCTGTGGGGAACTGGAAAAGGGACATACCCAGGGCTGCGGTCAGCCATCTACCACCTGTGCATGGAGGGGTTCTGCCTACAAGGATACACACCATATCCCCAGGGTAGGACCCAGAGGTGAGAACAGCTGCCAAATGAGGGAGATGTCCCCTTGGCCCCTGGACATGGGCTAGAATAGCACTGTTCAGAACTCTGTCTACACAAGCCACCTCTGGGTTCCCCCACCTGTGACAGGGAGTCTGTTTATTATTCAGGTTTCCCACTAGATTTCATTTGAATGGTTCCAAAAATAGAATGAAGTATCAAACCCACTGGAATATGGGGTACATGAGACCAAGATTGGGAGTTCAGCCCCTCATTTGGGAAAGTCAGCTTTAGCAAAGGCAAACCGGTCATTCTAACCCTAACCCTGCTTTTTACAGCCCTGGTAAGGAGAATGATTTGGGGAAAGGAAGAAGAATATGGACAGGCTTGGGAAGCCTATGCCAGGGAGCTAGAGGACTGGCTGGATCAAAGGTCAAACAGCCACTGGGTTTTTTTGTTTGTTTGTTTAGCTGAGCCATCCTGCCACCTGTTGGCAGCTCAGCGGCTGCTCAGCTTGGGCCGGGACTCGAACCGCTGTTGCTCAGAGCTCAAACTCTTGAGCAAGCTCTTAACCAACTGAGCCACTCGGCCGGCCCATGGGTTTTAACTGAGCATTCACTATTTGTGCTGGGGATTATAGAAGAGACAGAGTCCTTTATCCTAAAGTTGCCCTACAGTGCCATCAGAGACAAAGTGAGCATATATTAAAGGGTAAGCCTTGTACACAACAAATACTAAACTGCTCAGACCATATGTTGTAGGGATTCAGAGAAGAGTATTAGCAGAAGCAGCTTGGGGGAGTTTCCTGAAAGAGGTAGGTCTGAGTAGGTACTTCACCGATTTCAGCAGTAAAAGTAACCTCCCATGACAAACCAGGCAATAAAAACAAATTCTATTTTCCTTTCTGGAAGCTGTGGTAGGCAGAATAATGGTTCCCCCAAAGGTGTCTATGTCCTAATTGCCAGAAACTATACCTTACATGGCAAAAGGGACTTTGTAGACATGATTGAATTAAGAATCTTGAGATAGGGACAGTATCCTGGATCACCCAAGTGGGCCCAGTGTACTCACAACAAGGGTCCTCATAAGCAAAAGACGGAGGCCGGCGAGTCAGAGAAGGAAAGTGAGAAGGAAGCAGAGGTCAGAGTAACAGAGGGCCTTGAGCCAAGCAATGCAGGTGGCCTCGAGAAGCTGGTAAAAGCAAGAAAATGGATTTTCCCCTAAATCTCCCAAGGGGAATGTAGCCCTGCCCAAACTTGGATTTTGGCCAGTGAAACCTTTGTTAGGGTGTCTTGAACTGTAAGATATTAAATGTATGTTGCTTTAAGTCACAAAATTTGTAGTAATTTATTACAGCAGGAATAGGGAATGAATATAGGTGCCCTGGGTGGTATTTTTAAGGGGAATCTGAAAAAAAGAATGAGGGATAGGGAAATACGCAGGAAGGTTTCTTTAATTTAGTTGGAAGACCTCAGTTAGGCAGAACTGGGTGGTTTCCTGATGGCTGGCCCGAGCTGGCAGCACCTCAGTGGCCAGTGTGTCCCCACCCACCACCTCATTGCCCAGGTCCCACACCCAGGAGCCTGTCAAGCACGCCCTCAAATGCTCCCAATGCCGAGGGGGAGCCAGGACCCCGTCCCTTCCCTGGATGGGCAACTTTCTACTCTGAAACAGGGCTAGCTGTCTCCTTGCTTACAAAAGAGGATCCCCCTGGACAGGCACCTCTGTTCAAGGAGAGGAAAGGGAGCCACTGCTCCTGACATCTGGCTCCAGGCCAAGTAAGATTTAAGGAATAAAGTCACTCTGGCCCCCTCTCTCCATGCACCCCAGGTTAAAACAATCCCGCCACCCCCTCAGCGGCCTCGGGGCTCGGCCACTGTGTACAAGGAGCCAGGTGGCAGCAGCTGTCCCCAAATGTCTCACACCTCTCACCCCCAGTGGTCCTCAGTCTAGTCCCTTCCCCCACCCTCCAACATGGCTGCTCCTTGAGACTCCAGCTTATCCAGCTGCACATTTCCAACAGAGATCCTCCCCACAAATCAGTTATTTTTAAACCTCATTAAGAGCAACCCACCCTGGACCTCCCCCAGCCTGGAAGCCGGGCCAGATAAATGTCAGTCTGGGCCTTGACCCACACCACCAGCCACACACACTCAGCTGGGGGAGGGCGGGCAGTTGAGAGGCTGAGGAGAGAGAGACAAGATCCCCCTCAGGGCAGCCCCAAACGCTGTCACCACTCAGTCTATAGACTATGACCCCTGCCACAGAGGCGTGGCTGGAGGCTTGGGAGGAAGGGGAGGGGTCTAGGAGCTGCTGCATTTTCGGAGCCCAGGGTCCAGACCTCTCTTCTGGGAGCAGCTTCCCTATGGTCACCTGGGCCTCAGGACTGTGTCTCCATAGAGCCAAGTGGTCTGAGGACAAGGGATCACAGTGGCCCAGAGAAAGAAAAGGCAGGAGAATGATTAATCCAGACATCAGGGTTAGGAGGGGAGAACAGGCCTCAAGCCTAGCCTTCCAGTGCCTCCCTCTTTGGCCGGACAGACGCAGCCTCCCAGACCCACCTCTGGCCTCTGGGTGGATGCTGAGGTGCCCTCTCCTACTTGGGCACCTGGACACAGCTGGCAGTGTCACAGCCTCCAGCTGTAGTGTCCAGGTTCCACTCTGGGGTCATTGCCCTAGAGGTTTGAGGTGCCAGAGCCGTAGCACGGAGCTTTGGGAAAGGGTACAACTCCAGGAAGGGGAGGGCCCAACCAGGCACAGCCTGTGGTAGCCTGTTCTCCCCATCCCCACGGGCAGGGGAGGGCCGATGGGCTGTGGCTGCGGGAGCAGGAGAGGCCTACCCTAGTGACACCCACAGGACCTAGTCCTGCCCTCCCTCAGAGGAAGGGAAGACAGCCAGCTGCCTGCTGGGGCAGGGAGAAGCTGTGTGGGAGATGCCCAGAGCGGAGGGTCCAAAGCGAAGACAGCCGAACAACTTGGGAGGGTGGCTTGGCTGTGAGTAGCCTGAAGTGGAAAGCTGCGCACAGCTGTGGGAACAGCCCCACACCCCCACCCACAAGGGTACAAGAATTGGGAGAGAGGGAGGGGCCACAAAAGGCCCCACCCAGGCCCTGGGCTGGAAGCTTACCTCAGCCCTCAGACCAATGCCAAGGAAAAGGCGGATGTGGGGTGGGGGTGGGAGGATTTGAGCTTCCTGGCTGGAGATTTAATTGGGAAGACAAAGGGACTCTGCATTCATTGTGCAGATAACACAGGAGTGCTTCCCAATTCAGAATTGGGATTAAGACTGTTCATTCTAAAAGGGTAACATGAGGGTACCTGTCCCCAACATGACGTGCCACATGGAACAGGCACAAACAAAGATGGTGGGAGACCTATGATTGGGGCAGCCCCCTCACCACCAAGAGTCAATGAGGAGGAGAGAAAGCTGAAGCTACACAAACAGGAAGCCACAAGGCTACAGGAGGAGGGGTGAAGTGGGGGACGTTGCCATGGCTTCTGTGTACCAAACACAGGCAAGGGCAGGGTGGGGGCACCAGACAGAAACATACACTCACCAGAGTAGTGGTGAGAAACTCCAAGCACTGGTGCTGAGGTAGGTCCTTGAGAAAGAAAGGGGCCACCTCACCACAGTTCTCAGGGATAGCAGGGTGCAAGGCAACCCTTAAGGAGGCAGCTGTGGTGCATGCAGGCGGCATTTGCAGGAGATGGGAAGTTCTGAGTTTGGGCGCAGAGAAGTAGACGCAAGGAAACGGTTCAGGAAAAGATGAAATAATACCCTGGGAACAGAAGGTATAGTCTCAGCTAGAGTCCCATACCTGAAAATCCTGTTAGGAGAAGGGATGAGCCAAAGAAAGAAATTAGAGGCCAATTCCCAGGGGGCAGAAGAGGCACTGGGACAGGGGAATAAGGGGTTGCAGTTGGCTCTGACTACTTGTTGATTCTGGAATGGTAGGGCCCTGCTGGCCCTACCCGACCTTGGCCTCCTCTGCAGTTCTGTCATCCCAGTGGACTAGGAGGAGAAAATGGGAGGGGGTTTGGAGCTAGGGAGCTGTCCCTCTATCTGGTGCTCTGGAATCTGAGAGAGGATTAGGAAGAGCCCATCCAGGTCTCCTCCTGCACTGGACCTCCACAGCAGTCCATCCTCACTTCCACCTGTTGCCTTCTTTCTGCTTGTGGATACCACGTTACCCCCAGAACTTCCCTGCTGTGGGCTCCAGGCGGCCTGCAGAGCGGGAAAGCAGCAGGCCACTTCCGGCCCTGCAGGTCCAGCCCCCTGGCCACACCCTGGGCCGTTACTGTGAGATGAGTCACACCGCCTGCCGCTGGGGTGACGCAGTGGTCTGGGCAGCCCGCGGCCACCACCCGCTTTCCCAACAGCGGGGGGTACGGGATAGGGACCTCGACTCGCGTAGGGGCAGGAGGGCCCGCAAAGCAGCCATCCCTCCCACCACCACCTCACACAAGCAGGGCACCCGGGCTCAGTTAGGGCTGCAGCCCCCAGATGCCCGCGCTCGGGGGTCTCTCCTGAAGTAGACTGTGGCCTCAACTCCCCGCCCGAACTGGGCAAGGCGAGGCCACCATGGAACCCGAGTCCCCGAGTCCCAGCCCGTGACCCCGAGTCCTCAGGAAAGGAGCTGGCAGGAGGAAAAACAGAAAGGACGGGGCCTCGGGACGCTGGGGTGCAGGCTGTGCCCGCACGTGCTCCTAGAACCAGGAAGTGCGGGGTCGCGCGGAGCTGGCCCAGGGCGGCTCCAGGACCCCGGACGCGCCGTCGCCCTGCGAGGACCGGGAGCTGGAGCCGGCGGGTGGGGTGCAGTCCCTGAGCCCCTGCTCCAGGCGGACGCTCCGTCTGTGCTCTCGCAATGTGGCCTGACCTCATCGCCCAGCAATGCAGGTCAGAGCCTGGGACAGGACCTGACAGCGTGGGGCGGAGCGGTCATCGCTTGGTGCCAAGCTCGGTGGAGCAGGTCGCCAGCCGGCCTTCTCGCTTTCAACAGACACCACCCCCACACCTCCCCCACCTCTCCTTCCTGCTCACCGTCTGGCGGAGAGCGCGCACTCCACGCGGGCTTGCAGGGCGAGTGGTGCGCGCTGGCCCGGTGCGGGGGTTTTCAGCGGCTCCTGCCTAGGACAGGGCGGACCGGGGGCGGGGCGAGGGCCTGAAGGGTTTAAAGGCGCCGTAGCTCAGCGGAGGACCATGGTCCATGCTTAGGAGAAAAGGACGGTTGGATGAGATCCTGGGTTAAAGGATCTGGGGAGTCGGGTCTCCATGGGCAGCAGCAGTGGTCTCCAACTAGAACAACTTCTACCCCACCCCAGAGCCCAGAGATCTGTGCTCCAAGGGGAAACTTTCTGCGTAAGTTAGCTCAAGATTGTGGGCGTGTTTATGTGGGAAGAAGCCTCTTGGTTTAAAAGGGTGTTTAGATAAACGGAGGCACAGGAAAACATTGCCCCCAACTGACTAGGGTGTGACAGGCCTGGGGCTTGCACGCAGGGACAGCACCCGCACCTACTTCAAGCTTAGGCAGGACAACGTAGTGAGGTCATTAGTTGTCTGGTGCCCCATGAGTGTGATCAGCGCTGGGAACCAGGGTTCAGACCTGACTGCTCTCCCCTTCATCTCCTCCTATGATTTGGCACCTCTCAATCCTGGAGGGCTCAAAACAGGAGGCCCTAATGGAGGAGGCTGGCAATCCTTCTCTCTGAGGGTGGAGGAGAGCATAATTTTGGGATTGAAGGAGTGCTCCGCACTTTCAAGTTTCAACTGAGCAGTCCCCCTGGGGCGGAGTCCCTGCTTACACCCATCAGTGGAGTTCTTCATGTCTGGTAGAAGCCAGTTTCGCCTGGTTTTCAAGGACATCAACAACCAGTGCCCTCCCACCTTCCCATTCTGTTCCCTACTCCTCCCCAGTCCTCCATTCCAGAGCCTCCCAAGTGATCCCCTAAGCCAGCGTTTTCATTCCACTGCCTTCACACAGGCTGTTCCTCTGCTTGGGGTGCTTTGACCGACTCTCTCACCTGCTCTACAACTCACCCACCATGACATGGCAAATTGCTGAAGCATTGGACGCCTCAGTTCCCTAGCCTAATAGTCCTACCTACCTCCGTTGTAGAGAATTAAGTGACACATGTAAGGATCTTAGAACAGTGCCGGCACATTGGGAGTACTCAGCTGTTAGTTATCATTGTTCCCACTCTGTGCAGACTCTGAAGATGCCCCATGTGAAGCATTTGTCCCAGCACATGCTGTAAGCATTCACGGTGTTGACTCCTTCCTTTGTGCTACCATAATAACCAACACATCACTTTATCACAGAACTTATCACATCATATTGTAACTGTTTACTTGTCTGCCTCACTGACTAGAAAGAACTCAAGGGCAAAGGCATGACTTAGTCAACTTTGTATTTTCTCAGCATGTAGTTCAATGGCTGGTCTTTATAGGTAACTTCAGTAGGCTCTCAATAAATGCTACTAGAATGGATGTTGAATGCACCTCCATTCATTCAGGAAGAGTGCCCTCCTTTGTTAAGTGTTTGGGATTTTCCCACCGCCCTCGCAGATTCAAAGCCAGACACAGAAAACATTTTTCTTTTTTTTTTTATTCACCTGTAAAAAAGCCTCACCGACACCACGACCACCACCACACACACACACACACATACACACACCAGCAGACCGAGCATGCCTGTTCCAGTCCCCAGACTAGAGGAGCTCAGCATATAAATCCCATACCATGCCCACCCAAGACCACCATCAGGGTCTGTGCCTGGGCCCCAAAGGAGCAGGCGCAGGCGCAGTTTGCCAAGCTGGAGCTAGGTCTTGTTGGGGCCTCCTCTGCAGGGTCCGTGTGCCTTCACCCTGCCTCACATTAAGGCGTTCACAGCAGAGTGGCCTGTTCAGGGTGGGGCACTGGCTGTCGATAGGCTGGTAGCCGGGCCCTAGTGGCATCTCGGCGGCGGCGGAAGGCCAGGAATTCCTCCCGGAGGGCAGCACAGCGGGCCTCAGGGTCAGGAGCATGGGCAGTGTTCAGGAGGCAGCCCTCCTCTGAAGTCTTTTCACCTGCAAGAGGGCAGAATGAGAGGAAGGTCTTGAGGCTCCCTGGCACCATGAAGTGCCCCAGGGCCTGCAGAGCAGATGAGCCAAGGGAGCAAGAGGAGAGAGAGGAGGCCCAGGGCCTGCCTGGGAGCAGGCTGGGTCCTAAGGCTGTGGGGGCTTGTGGGACAGTGAAGCCAGGCGTGCCCGCCTTTCTGGAGGGCTCACACACCTAGCTCTGGCTCATTTTCAGGTTGGGGTCGAGGGCCAGCCAAGCCCAGGTGCAGAATCTCCAGCAATTCCATGTCCCCAGGGAATTCTGAGTCCCATTCATAGTTCTCATCCACAGATGTGTTCCTCCTGTTAAAAGGGACAAATGTGTAGTAGGGTGGGTAGAGGAACAGAGGGTGGCAGAAAAGCCTGAACCCGGGCTCCCCAAGTTCATGTAGGGCCATGGGTTTCCCCTGAGGAGCCCTGGACCTCAGCCAAAGCTTCTAAAAGGAGACAAGTTTTCCTGGCCCTGGGGTGGGAGTGGAGCAGAGAAGGCAGCGAGTCTTAGGAGAGGGGTGGGGAGAAAGTCTGAGAGGGCACGGCAGGAATGGGCAGGGGCTGCCCTCACCTCTTGCTGACGGTTATCACGTGCTCCCTTCGGGGCCATCTCTCAGGGCCACTGGCCCAGCTGCTGGTATCTCCCGGAGGAGGAGCAGGACTGAGGTAGCTGCCTCCTGCCGAGGGGGCTGTGGAGGGGGGCCGCAAGAACGAGGCGCTGCCCCGCCCGCTGCTCTGGCTGGTGAGGCTGCCCCGAGGGGCGGCAGGGAGAAGGCTTGGCAGCAGCCGCTCCCTCAACGTCCAGTCAGCCAGCGCTGTATATGGGGGCTCTGCAGCAGCCCCAGCCCTGACCATGGTCCCAGGAAGCACTGCCCTGGGGGACCCAGGGGAGGAGTCCAGGGGTTGAAGGAAAGTTGAGGTGGGGCAGGGCTGGGTGTCCATGTAATCTCGAGGTGCAGCAGGACTGGGCTCCTCAAAAGGGGGCCAGTCCCCATCCACACTCATCTCCCGGAAGAAGGGCAGGCTCAGGTACTGGAGCAGGGGTCCTGAACCTGACGGAGGACTGGGTGTGGCCGCAGGAGGGGGCCCCACAGGGCTGATATCTGCTATGCAGAGGGGCTGGGGCAGCCCACTAGGGCTGCTGCTGCTGCAGTCATAGGACCTGGCCTGACACCGGGACAGGGTCTGAGGTTCAGCCTGCTCAGGGCCTGACCTTTCCTGGGGGGTCACCACGTTGGGTCCCATCACAAAGCGCCCATCCGGTCCCCGGCAAATGGGCTCCAGGGGCAAGGGCCCCCGGCTAGGAGGATCCTCCAGAGGGGAGCTGGGGGGCCCGGGGGGCTCCCTGCAGAGCAGGCTCTGGTGCAGGCTGGGGACTGGGGACGTCTGGAGCTTCAGCTTGGCCACACTGTCAGGACTGCCCGAGCCTGGAGCAGAGCTGGGGAAGAACAGATCAGGGTCTGTAGTAGGGGCCAGTCCCCCTCCTAGGTAGCAGTGTCAGGCCTGGAGAGGTCTGGTACAAAACAGAGCAGAGCTAGGAGAGCAAGCCAGGAAGTCACAGATGGAGGGGTGGAGGGAGGCAAAGGCAACACTGGACTGCCCCCAGTCCGGGGCTCGGCATGCCTATCCTCACCTCCCTCTCTCACGTCTGTTCCCCCTCCCACACCTCCCACCCCGTGGTGCACAAAAGGGGCACATTGTGGGAAGGCAGAAGCAAGCCCAGGAGGTGGAGGAACTTACAGTAGAGCTGACAGCCGGGGCGGAGAGAAGATAAGTGGTGGATCTGTACGGGCAGGAGAACCAGAGATGACACAGGCAAACCCAAGGCCCTCCAGGGCCCCAGGCACAGACCCTCACCCAACAGCAGGCTGGGAATAGTGTAGGCAAGGCTGGGTGCAGAACCAAGGAGAGGAGGGCCCCTGGCCCAACAGGAAGGTGGCCTTTCCTCCATAGGAGGCGCTGATGGGGGTTGGTCCTACCTTGGCGGAGGCGCTTGCGGCGGTGGCGGGCGGCCCTGTGCCGGTTAGTGACACATGCTGCCAGGATGCTCACAAGGACAGCCACCCCCAGGAAACAGACACCGCCCAGCACTCCAGCTAGCACGGGCTGTGGCAAGAGGCCTGGCAGCTGGGTGCGAGACGGGTAGACCTCCAGACCTGCGCAAGGGGCCATGAGGCGGGGTTGGTGTCCAGACTCATTGGGATAGTAGCCCCCAGGCCCCAGCACTGGTCCTCCCACCAGGTTCTCACCGGAAGTGGAGACGTTGGCTATGTTGCTGGGATCACTGACATAGCCACCAGCCAAGGCCAGAAGGCGGAACTCGTAGAGAACATCCTGGGGGTGGGGGAGGAGTCCAGGAAGGAGGTCAGGGCCAGGCCTGACGGCCCACCTGACCCCATTCAGAGAGCCACTGTTGTTGAGAAGTAAGGGTGCAGTGGGAAGCTGGGGAACATGGTCAGATCTGGGTGAGCAGATCGGCTTTGGGTAATGGAGCTGGGGCCTGGAGAGCTGCAGGAGGACCCCCTGTGCCCACCTCCCACACTAACCTTAATGAGACCTGGCACCAGCAGCTGCATTTCTGTGCCTGCCACGGCCTGGTCCAGCACCTCCCAGGTCTGGGAGCCTTGTCGGCCCTCCAGGATGTAGCCATCCAGCCTCTTAGGGACAAGTTCTGGGGGATCCCAATATAAAAGTACCCCCCGGGGTGTCCTAACTGCCACCAGACCTCGGGGAGAGGACAGGGGAGGCGGCATCTCTGTCAGGGGAAACCTGGGGGCAGCTGGCGTAGTAGGAAGCCCTGAAATGGGAGACAGCATGGCAGAAATTGGATCTCCAGGGCCATTCCCCATATCCCCCGGCTTTCCACAACCCCCGGCGCCCAACCTCGTCCCAGAGCCCCTAAAGACAAGTCTGGACCACCCTCCACAAACCCCTCTAGGCCCCAAGCTGCCCATCACCTATTCCCTCTCCCACCCAGGTCCTCCCATATCCAGGCTTTCCCTGCCGGCCCTTCCCCATCCTTGTCCGTGGCTCTGGGGGGAGAGGTCTCTCACCTTCAGGGACAGACAGGACAATCTCGCTGAAGGGCCCGCTCCCCAGTTTGTTCTGAGCCAGGACGCTGAACTGGTACTGGGTGTGGGGCTGCAGCCCCGGCACAAGGATGTGAGCGGCCCCCACGGGCACCGCCAGGGACACCCAGTCGTGGTGGGTTCGGTCAGGACGCTTGGCCCTGGAGGACATGAGGAAATGGGGATACCCCATGAACTAGAAAGACTAGGAAAAGACTAGGAAGCTTGGCGTCTGGAGAGCTTACCTCTCCGCTCCCCTCAACCCCACAGGGTAACCTAAGGTTCTCTGGAAATCAGATAGCAGAGTTGGTGCAGGGCTGGGATGGAGGAGTGGGAGAAAGGGCAGAGGACCAGAGGGAATCAGGGTGGGGAGGAGAGCAGCGGCAGGGGAGGTCACTCACAGTGGGGTATACCAGATGCTGAATCTCTGCAGATAGCCACCATCGAAGCCAGGCTCCCAGGAGACATTGGCACTCTTGGGCAAAGGCACCACGGACACATTGGTGACAACATGGGGGCTGGTGCCTGGGTAGGGAGAATGGAGGACTATGGTCAGGGCCCTGAGGGAAGGTAAAGAGCTAAGGGGAGCCCAGGGGTCCCCCAACCACCATCCCCATCTGGGCCTCCAAAAATGACTCCCCATCTCCTGTCCCACACGGTTTCCTGCAGCCCCCAGCCGGCTCTGCAGCCACAAACCCAGCACGTAGACATTCGTGGACGTGGCCACTTGGGCCACAGCATTGCTGGCGGTGCACTCCCAGCGCCCGTGGGCCTCCTTGGTCAAGGGTCGCAGGATGAGGCTACTGTTGCTGTCCACATGGGCCTGGCTCTGCAGCCCCCGGCCCACCTACAGAACCACTGGTCAGCCCTGAGGACACACGCAGCCACCCCTCACCAAGGGCGCCACTTATCTCTCTGGGCAGCTCCAGCTTTCTCCCCACCCTGCCTCTGACAGCCCTCCCTTTTCCGTAACCTCCTTCCCACGAAATGGCCAGGGACATGGAGAAGCAGGGGTACAATGGGCAGAGTATACGCAGAACGGGCTCAGGAGCCTTACCTTGGCCCAAGACACAGCAGGAGGAGGGTCTCCTCGGGCAGAGCAGGGGATGAGTAGCTCCCGCCCTACTTCTTGGAAATATTCTTCCTTGGGCCGTTCTAGAAAAGCTGGGGGAGCCTGCAAGCCAGAGCTGGCATTGGGAGGGGCCTCTCTCACATTGCTGTCTCTTCTCTGGGGTTCCGTCATACCACATCTCAGTCTCATCTGTTACTATCTCTCTAGCTTTGTGTCTCTGTTCTCTGGTGGGACAGAGGACTGGGGGACTGGGAGGCCTCTCTGGAGGCATACAGACCTCTACAGAACACAGAGAGGGGACGTGGTCAAGGTTAGCAAGATGGGGGCGGGCAGAAAATCTGACTCTGTGCATGTGCTGTGTGATTGATGGCCCACCTCCCCCGCACCATCTCTGCAAAATACGCTGGGATGGTGCCTGACAGCTGCTGCTGTAGCCACGGTGGGAGAAACAGACTTGGAAGCCCCTTCTCACCCCCCTCTGTCAGCCTGGTGTCCACATAGGGCGCATCTTTAGCTACCTGACCCACGGCTGCTGGCCCACCCTGAGCGTCACCTTGAGCAGCACTCGGGTCACTGGGGAGGGCCCTGAAGTGCCGAGACTGTTGTAGGGGGTGCAGGAGTATTCTCCCAGAGCGTCTTCGTTCCCCAGGGCGATGACCAGTGAGCCTTCTGGGCCCTGGGACCAGCCGGGGAACTGGAGGGAAGAGGAGATGACAATGAGAGAAAGAAACTCTGCAGAGGCAAAGCCGAGATGGAGAGGCCATAGCAGGCAGGAGACGGTACGAGAAGCCCACAGCTACGCAGAGGACACAACTCCACCTTTAGGCCTGACCGCTCTGCGCTCCAGCCCTTCGTCTCCCTTTCCCAGAGGGGCCGCTCCCAATGGGTGTGAGAGCTCAGACTGCACAACTCCAGGGGACACCACTCACAGAGAATACAATGTGAGATGCGCCCCTTGTGGGTGAGCTGGGTGTGGGCTCCATGCTTGCTGGGACCTCATCTGTTCGTCTTCCCAGCACTCATGACAAAACTCAGCATCTTCCATCCCAAATCAGTTCCTTTTCCTGGCTTCCTTATTTATGTTAGTGGCCCCACTGTCCTTGCTCACCTCTGACTCCTCATTCTCCCCCATTCCCCAGTCTACATACTTACCAGGTCTGTTCTCCTAGGAAGGCCTGTTGTCTAGACGCAAGGCCCATCCATCTTCATGTGCTCTTCTCTAATTCAGGCCTCATAACTTCTCACCTGGACCATTTCAATGCCTCTGAACTCCTATCCCTATGTCCACGCCTCCCTTTCCAGTCCATCAGCAAATTCAACCCTTTCTCGCAGCTCTGATGCCATCACATCATTGTTCAAACAACTTCACAGCCTCCAACTGCCCTTAAGACTTTTTTTTAACATTCAACAAAAATGTATTGAGTACTATTACTGCAGAAGCCCTGAAGACACTGGGATTAAAAGACGTAATACTAGCCCACAAGGAATTTATAGTCTTTGCAGACAAACAAAAGATCCCAATCACCTTGGAATGTGGTAATATTAACTTGGCATCCAGAGTTCTTCCATTTGGCCCCAACCTGTCTTTCCAGCTTTCTCTGCACCCTTCACATCCACACAGGTACTCCCACCAAGCTGGACGATTCATTATGTCACCAAGGCACTACATTGTTTTTTGCCTCTGGGCCCTGGTTTCTGCATGGAATGTCTGTCCACCCTTCAAGGCCCATCATCAAAGTCCCAGAAGCTGTAGCTGATCTATCCTTGACCAGTCCTAACTGGAAGGTGCCTCCTTCATCCCTGGCCTTCCAGCAGAGTGTCTCTGTTGCTGTCTCTACCCCTCTAGGCTGTGCCTTCCTTAAGCATGGATGTTTCTCTGCTCCTGCTCCCCATGCTACACCCTGCACAGCACCTAGTAATAAGTGTATGTTCTAGTCACTGAACTGAATTAAACTGAGCTAACACCACTGTCCTGACTAGAATAAAACCAAGCTGAGACATTCCTGCCCCTGCTCCAAGCCTGTACCTTGTCCAGCTGCAGGGCCTTCCCATCCTTGGTCCAACTGACAAAGAGCAGTGGCGGGTTGGCACGAACTGGGCACCGGATCACCCCTCGCATGCCTATGGGCAGGGGTGTCTCAGGAGGCATTGCTGTCACCTGGGCTGGGTCTACAGGGAAATAGTGGTCAGTTGTGCAGGCGGAGCTTGGCCTGGCCCAGGGGAGGGGACAGGCTGTGGGGGGGGAGCTGGGGTCAGGCTTACAGAGCACAGTGAGGTAGGCGGAGGCTGAGGGCGGGTGTAGGAGGCCATTGCTGGGCACACAGGTGTAGCGGCCGGCATCGTCAGGCTGGGCAGCCTGTAGCCACAGGCTCCCATCCACCAAGATCTGCACTCGTGACTGTAGACGGCTGCAATATGGCACGTGTGGAGAGGGGTGCAGGCCTTGGTCAGCCAAGGGGCTCCTCAAAGCCTTCCCACCAGTTCTCCACCCCCACCCCCACACTCCAGAGCCCCACCTAATGTGGAAGACGTTGATGCTGTCCTGGAACCAGCTATAGGTGAGGTTAGCAGGGTACGCCTCAGCCCGGCAGGCCAAGGAAATATCCTGGGACGCATTGACTGTGCTATTCTTGGGGGGTACCACGATGACTGGGGGTCCTGTGGGGGAACACAAGGGGGAGTGGGGACCTTAGCCCACAGCCTTCCCAGAACCCTAAGTTCACTTCTACCATTCTTCCTGGACCTGCTCTCTGGAACCCCATTTGCCCAATTTCCCCTGCCTAGAAACTATGTGTGTGTGTGTGTGTGTGTGTTTGTGTGTGTGTGTGTTGGGAAGGAGAGTCAGTTTTATCACGCTGCTCATTTACCCTTTATAGCCTTCATCTGTCACACCTTAAATTACCTCTGTCTCTTCCTCTAATCCAGGTACCTAATGCCTTACCCCCAGATGCTGCAGTGACCCCAAACCCAGACTCCCCCATCTCTGCCACTCTGATAGCTATTCATGCATTGAATAATCATTCATTCTTTGGCCATAGAACACTTCTGTTTAAGAACCCAAAACAGCTGCTATCTCCTATCACATTAAGCTTAAACTTCTTGATCCAACCTCCTCCCTACCTGGCCAGCCATCTTTTCATGGGAGAGTCGGACCTTTACATTTCTCAGCTTTCCTTCTAAAGGGAAGGACTTGGCCAGGAATTACTCTGTGCTGATCACTGTTCAGCTGAACCTAATTAAATTATTGCCACAGTCCTGAGAGGTAGATACGAACCTCTTTATATAGGCGGGGAAACTGAGGGTGAAGGGGGCCACGGCTCGTGGTCTAACACCAGCACGCATGCCCTTTGCACTATACCACATTGCTGGGCACTAACTACTTGTCTGTTTACTGACCCTTTTAAAATTTAAGATGCTAGTTTTAGACGAACAGCCTGTGCCTAATGCATTGGGAGCTTCCTCACCCCCCAGATCCCCTGCCTTCAGGCACAAGTGTCCTCCTAATTCCTGTCCAGTACACTCCCAGCTATAGGCAAGTCCTCACACATACGCGTCCCAGTTCTAGGCCCTCCCCCACAGAAAGCACCTAGCACCAGCAGCTGGGTGGCGTGGGTGGCACTGCCCTCAGTGCTGGAGGCTTGGCAGGTGTAGATCCCCGAGCTGCCTCGCTCCACCTGGCGAATCCACAGCGTCCCATTCTGCACCTAGTGTTAGGAGTCAATGAGGAAGACCCCAGGAGTCTCCCTCCCCTCCCCCAGGCCTCGGACCCTGCACTTCTGAGAATGGCCAGCAGAGGGAGAAAGCACCCCAGGCTCAGGGAGCCAAGTCAAAGCACCTCCACTGGCTACTCTCCCAACCTGGTCTTCCACATCCTTCAGCCCAGCTCCCAGGCCTCCACCTATCTGGCACACCGTGCCCAGCAACAGGTCTTACCTGCATCTGGCCCTGGCCCTGGCCCTGGCCCAGGTCCTGTCCTCGGAGCTTCCAAGTCACATGAGGCTGGGGGCTACCGCGGGCCACACAACGCAAGGTCAAGGGCTCTAATTCCTGAATTTCCAGCACCTGGGGAGGTGTCTCCAGGAATTGAGGGGGCGCTGCAGAAAGAGAGACATCAGGGGCTGCCAGAGGGGCTACCAGCCCAAACAGCATCTGAAGGCAGGAAGATAGATCAGCCTTCAGCCCACCAGCCCCTAACCACCGTCACAGGAACCCCCAGCACACAACCCCCAGGCCACACCGTCTGCTGCACTCAGGGCCCCGTGAGGATAGCACCAGCGCATCCCAGAACTGGCCTGCACAGTTGGCAGCTAGGGCAGAGCACGGGTAGGGTGCTCAGAGCCAGGGGAAAGCTAGGTGCCCTCTAAAAGACCACTGTTCTGGGAGTCAGGAGGCCTGGGTTCTAGATTCTGTTCTGCCCCTCATCAGTGACATGACCCAGGCTCCCTGAGCCCCGGTCTCCTCATCTGTGAAATGGGAATAAGTATGACCTTCCTTCTTGGGGCTGAGAGAGAATTCATGAGGTATTGGGTTAAAAGGTGTTTTGAAAAAACAAAATGCTGTATATACGTGGTCTGTTTCACTCAGGTCTCAACAGCCCCCTACCCGTTATCCTCTCCTGGCCAAGGAGGCAGGAGCACAGCAGAGAGGGGAAGAGGAAGTTGCTAACACAGCCTAGAAGGCCAACGGGACTTGGATTTGAAGAACTGAAAGGGCAGGAGTGGGGGTATGAGGGGCAGGATGCAGACGATAAGCAAGCAAACAAGGGTGTCAGCAAGGGTGGAGCATCAGAACTGCCTTCTTCCCCTCCCCCACCAGCCAGAGGACCCAGTCTCTTGCCCCCGTCCTTTCTCCACTGCCTGCTCCTAGCTTCATACAATTGACTGTGAGGTGCACCCAGGAGCCGTTAGCAGAATCGTCTTCAGGGCTGTGCTGGTCCAGGAAGAGCACGCGACACTCGTACCAGCCCTGGTCTTCCGCCCGGAGCCCCTCAATCTGGAGAGATGCCCCCTTCTGCAGCCGGACTCGCCCTGGAGGAGGAGCCCAGAATCAGGGTGCTGCAAGGACCCATTGCAACGCCAAACCGTTGGTCATTCTCAGAGGTCAACAATAGGCCCAGCCTCTCCCAGTTACCCTGATAGACTGGGGTCCATCAGGGTACAGGGGAAGTTGGGGTAATTGAGGGCAGATCCCTCCATCAGCCCCTTTGGTTGCTCCTGCCTTTCAGCAGCTGGGATCCAGTCTAGACAAAGAGAAACCCAGAGCGGTGGAAAAGACCTTCCACTGAAATGCATCCAGCTTCCAGGACTGTTGGGGGGGGGGGGGGGTTGAAAAGCCAGCACTTAGTTTCCTCTGAATTCTTACAAGATCTACCCATCCCCAGGCTTTTTGTAGGGAAGAGTATATGGGTCCCATGAGTACTCCTCCTGCCAGAGAGCTCTGTCTCCAGAAGCCTCAGCAGCGTTTGGGGCCTGAGCAGGGACCCAGACATCGCCTACCAAAGCCCCTAATCCCTCAGGGCTATTATCAGTGGCCTAAGCACCTTAGGGTGGCCAGAGTCCAGCCCAGCCAGGCAGCAAGGTCAGCAGCTTCACCACCCCATCCCCTCATGCCCGAGCAGACTGACCACCGAGTTCCACAAAGCCACACAGCCCAGCACAGGCAGACACCACACTCGCACCCTCAATCAGCATCCACACCACACCACCAGGCTGACTGAGGGTGCCCCAAATCCCTCAGCACCTCCCCTGACAGCCCTGCACCCCAGATAGCTTCGTGGGTCCCTGGCAGTACAACCTAGTGAGAATGGCAGCTCTGCTATGTACTGCTCTGGGCAAGTTACTAACCTCTCTCAAATTCAGTGTCCTCATCTATAAGAGAGAGGAGAATCTGGGTGGGGTAGAGAAGGCAGGCAGCATGGGGCCTGGCATCAGCAGGTTTTCAAATAAAGATGGTGAACAAATAAATGAGCTCAAGATTTGAAATCAGAAGCCTGCGTTCAATCCTGGCCCAATCCCTTACCTGGTAACACATCATCTCCCTTTTCTCGCCCTGTATCAGCAAATAGCACCACCATGCACCAAGTCGCTCTACCGGACACCTGGCATCACCTGTGCCTCTCCATTTCCTCCCCCTCTACTTGTTCAGTAAACCTTTCAAATTCCAGCTCCTACATCTTTGTTCCTTCTCTACCACTTTCACGTTAGTTTAGTCCTGAGTATCTCTCACCTACATTACCCCCAACAGCTTGTTAAGAGGTCTCCCTCCTCCAGCCTACCCCTCGACATTCATCAGCTGCCCACCCCACCTTGACATCTTATGTGGATACAATGACATTTTTTAAATCTTCGGGTTATGCAAATCAAATCCAGTTCTAAGACAAGTCCCTTAGCATTGTGCCAACTCCAACCATCCAGACTGTGCCCCAAATTAGCCCTTCCCAATACTAGAAATTCTAAAACTGATTGTGCACTCATCCCCTCCAATCTGCTTCCAGTCTACCCCTAGGGTGATCTTTCTGAACTATAAACCTACGGAGCCCCTTATGCCATCGAGGAAGAAGAGAATGATCAGGTGGAGGCCGGCTTTGTGGTAGGCAGCCAGGGACTTTTTCGCCCCCAAGAATGAGGTTGAGGGGCGTGGATTCTCTAGAAAGGGTGGACCTGTTTAAAGTTCTAGGTGTTTAAATCCCCACCTAGGAGATAAGCCTAGGTGTTGCAGGTAAATATTGAACATTTAACATAATCACACCCTTCCTCCCACCAGCGGGATTCCTCAGTAACCCTAACCTGCCTGGCCATGCTCAGCAACGCTCTGACATGCAAGGCCCGCGCCCCCCGCCCCCCAGCAACTTCCTCTAACTGCAGGACACTAACTTTTCACTGTGGTGATTGATCTTCATGCTTTACAAAGAGGGCAGAAGAGGGCAGGAAGACTGAACACTGAATATGGGCCATGCAATATTAGGCACTGTCACCATATTTAATCTTCTCAAGAATCCCACTCTAGAGGAAGAAACTGATGTTAAGTATCGTTCTAACATCTCATGGCTGGTAAATGTCAAAGCCGGGCCTTCTTTCTCCAGATGGATGCACTTGCACACTGGTGTTAGGATCATGTTATGCTCAAGGTACTCAGCATGGAGCACATTCAGTGTGTTCTCACTCAGCGGTGTTGGTAGCCAGTGGGTAACAGTTTCAAATGTGTGCTGACCAGAACATCCGGTGAAGCATACTGCATGTCCTAACTTTTCTGACGTGCACTGCTAGATCTGTTACAGAAGAACAGGAAGATGGCTGGGGCAGGCAGTCCTGAGCTTCCGAGTCCTGGGCACACCTCCTGGAAGCCCACCCTCCACCCGTAGGGCAACAAACTTGAGACCTCCTCGCATGCAGGGATGTATAAAGGAAACAGGAGATGTATTCCAGCTCTCGAAAACTCTCAGAAGGCAGGGAACCCACACTCACATTCATGTGCAAATTCAAAAAATGATGCTGCGCCCAGATATTCCACGAGACTATGACGCAAGAGAAGCACAGAAGGCTTCCAGGAAGCTGTGGCTATGCAGAGGGTTTTGAAGGATAAAAGGCAGTAAGGGGAGATGACTTGAGGGAGAAAGGGGGAGAATGAGATGACTGATTTGTATCAAACAGTTCAGGACAGAGAGAAAACTCATGTCCCTTCTGCTGTATGGGGCATCTTGAAACTCCCAAAAAATACAGCGCAAAAGACCAACAGAACCAAAGCAGGTCCCGTGGATGAGAAGGATTGGTCTAAGACCCACCCCCGAAAGCTGGAGTAGATTAAGGCACGCTTGTTTTTCCTCTGGATGCCTGGTCACATTTCACACAGCAGAGGTTCTCCAGGCTCTGTGCTGGCATTTCACACACATTGGCTAACTTAATCCCGTATTTGGTCCCAGCTGGTTTTATACTGCTTTTAGCTGCTTTCATACTCGTCTATAAAGCTAGTCTCCTCTGCTAGATGGATTCTAGAATCTTTAAAGTTTGGAAGCTTGCCGTTCAGTGCAGTCCCTAAAGCGCCAGTTACTGTCAGGGTCCCTTCCACAGTCTAGGCACCAGCCTCACACACAGTCCTAAGGCTGTTGCCCCTTCACTTTTTATGACAGGTCAGCATTGTCCTTAGCAATCTCCACGTCCCATTACCTAGCAAGTGCAGTTCAGAGTCCCCTATACAAGGCTCAGAGGCCCCTTCCACACTGGCAGGCAGTAAAGTGTTAGTGGGCACAGGGGCCTCCCCCCAGGGCCCATACTCTGCAGACTAGCCCTGGCCCAACCAGGAGCCCCAGAGCGGGGGCAGGGTGGGCACAAAGGGTCAGGGTAGGAAGAAAGCCCCAGAGATTACTGCTCACAGCCCTGGCAGACAGGAAGAAATCCCAAAGGTAGCAAAGTGGCTGGCCAGGCCTCAAGATATGGGGAGCAGATAGGAGAAGAGTTGCACGTCTGCCTGGTGGAATCCCAGGAAAAGCCCTACTTCCTCTCCTCCCCCTCCTCCTGCCCGGCCCTTATTTAGGCATCTTCTGCATCTGCCCAGCCTCAGCCAGGCAGCCTCGATCCCTCCCAGGCAGCAGGCAGAGGCACGGAGGGAGGGCTGGTGGGCACGGCTGCTTTCTCTCCACTTGTCCCAACCGGAGCCGCTTTCATCAATTCTCGTGGGGCTTGTGTAGACACATACACTCCCACCAGGCTGTTTGCCAACAGCTGCCCCAGTTTGAAAAAAACTTCCCTGTGGCAGCACCTGCCTGGGCCTCCTCCCCTCTGCTCAGCCAGCCCCATGGGTGAGAGCACAACCAGTCCTAGGGCTTCTGAAGGATTCAAACTAAAAAGTGAAAAGGGAAAGCCCCCCCTGCCACTGACTTCCCAGGTGGCCTTTCCTGGGCTTTCTCTCCTTTGCTCCTACAGGACCCATCCTTAGGCCCTCCCACACACCGCCCTCGGAGACCTGTGCTAAACCATTCAGATTAAGGTTCCAGCCAGAATTAGGAGGAAGCTGAGCCTTTTGAGGGAGCCAGCTAGGTCTAGGGAGGCCTGTACACTATTTTAAGACTGTACAGGAAGAACCCAGTCCAGCCTCTTCCATTTGCTGATCTTTTGAGAATCTGGTCCTCCCCAGCCCACCTCTATGTGCACATGCTCTTCCGTACTCAGAGTCAGGCTGAGCCCCCATTGGAGAATCAGACAGGTCATCCACCCACCCTCTCTGCTGACCCATCAGTCCAGGCCCTCGAGGCCCAGACCCCCAAACTAGCATTGAAGACAGGAGATGGAGAGGGCAGGGGATTGAGCTGATAGCAGAGCCAGAGACCAGGACAGGGTCACGTGGGGAAACCAGGGAAGACCAGGATGGAGTCTGGGAAGATTCCTGATGAGATCTAGAAAAGCAATTAGAGAATTAGGTTGGATACTTGAAATAGGGCTGCAGAATCTCCTTTGGAACAGACCCACTGGAGTTCTAAATAGCACAGCTCTACCGTGTGTGTGTGTGTGTGTGTGTGTGTGTGTGTGTGTGTGTGTGTGTGTACACACGCACGTGTGTTTCTGTGCACACGTGTAAACACAGCTTGGGAGCAGAGCCACACTTGTTAAGCAAAGTTGAAGCAGTGGAACTAGAGGTGAGATGAGGGCAGGGATAGGGCAGTTAAAGAGACCCCACCCAGCCCACCTTTGTTGGAAATCCCTCCAACCTATAGCTAAGTCTTACCCACGTAATCAGGATCCACTCGGGGAGAGTAGAGGCCAAACTGAATGAAGATGGGAAGCAGGAACCCAAAGCGCAGCCACTCAATGACGTGCAGGGGGGGTCGGCCAGCTGACGGCAGCAGGTCACAGCCCAGCACGGCACTCTCCCCAGCCCGGCCCACAACCGATACCACCTCAGACTTCCCTCGACCTGCATGGTGGATGGCATGATGGACAGCAGGGGCCCAGGTCAGGGCTGAGAAGGGAGGTCCCATCAGCATCTCAGGGGGCTCCCTAGGACTCTGCAATTGAGGGAAACCTCAACTTTTCCAGAACCCTCACAGGCTCACAGAGGACCCCTGGGGAATGCCCCCATCCCAAGACTAACAGGGAGTTCTTAAATCCAGCTTACCGTCAGCCCCCTGGCTGATGATCAGGCTGAGGATGGCCAGACTGAGGCACCAAACCATAGCCCAACTGCCTGCTCACCCAGCCCCCCTCCCCCCGCTATCCACAGGGGCCCAGGTCCACGGGCCAGGGATGTCCACAGCCCAGCAAGCTCAGTCAATCCTTCTGATCAGGTAACAGGTTTCAGCTCCCACTCTTCTGAACAGTTAGGGCTTGGCTCACGTAACACCTGATGAAGCTGTTCTCTGGAGCACCGCCAGATCTAAATGCCAAATGCAAGGTGACACGAAGAGTTGGCCAATATAGTAAACCAGAAGAAACCCCACAGTTAGAGAAAGGCCAGGAGGACAGCAAAGGAAGAGAAAGGAGAGGAAGCAGATAAGAGGAGGGGTCACAGGAGATCAGAGATCTTGACACCCTGCCCCCGCTCCCCGCCGCCCCCACCCCTCACCCCAGGAATAAGGCCTGAGATGGGGGCACTGGGAGAATCGGGGAGTGCTGGCAGGGAAGATCAGGACATCTGGGGAAATTCGGGCTACTAATGTTCTCAGGAAACTGAAGCAGGAGGGAACTGGGGGGTTCCTATACACTCAGGAAAAAATTTTTCAGGGAAGTGTGGGAGATCAAGAGCCCCACAGCCAAGCTTCCGCTTCCTTCTCTTTCCTTTGTCCTGATGCTAATAACAAGGTGGCAGATAGGAGGTAGAACTAGTATTATCATCTCCACCCCAACTGTGACAAATAAGGGCCTTGAAATTGTCTCAGAGAGTCTTCTCAGGGGCACAGAGCCAGTCAAGGGCAAAGCCTGGAGTAGAACATCCAGAAAGTGGCCCCTAGGGGACCCCCACACAATTCTCTGCCCCATTTCCCCAGCTTCCATGCACCCTGGAAACTAAGGACCAGTACACCTCTTTCTCCACTCAGCTTCCCAATACTGCTTTAACAGTGAGTGAGGAAGGCACTTGGGGGGGGGCGGGGGCGGCGGGGAGGCAATGCCTTCCCCACCAGCTGGTATGGGAGGAATGGGAGGTTCCAGGCAGCACCCTCCAGGTCTGGGCAGATTCCTGGGCTGGTAGCCACTTCCTCTTCATGATGCTGCCAGGTGCCTCACCCCACTTCCTCCCACTCACTCCCCTCCAATATCCTCAGGGCCCAGGGTTTCCAGATTCTCCCTTTCCCAACCCTAAGGACATAGTTCATTAAAAGCCAAAAAAGCCAGTAGTCCATAGGGTGTACAGTCCTGGAGATGGAGGATAGGAACTCTTGACAGCCCAGACCTATAGTTCCTAGTGCCCCTGCCCCCGGCACACTGGCCTGGGGTCGAGATGGGGGTGCTACCTGGGCCTGGGAAATCCAAGTGGACTCCACCCCACTCTGGGCCTCACAATTCGGGACTGGCTATAAAATATCCCCAGGTCCCTCAGCCTGGCCCCTGCCTCTATTTAATGGCCCTGTGTGTTTAACTCCCGACAACTCATGGGAGAAGGATCCCCTTACTCTCCACTGTCCCTAGCCCGCTCCTCCATACTTCTCCAACAAATCTTTTCCCAAATGTATAGGAAATCCCTGTCCCACCTAGCTCATTTTTCCTTGACTCTTAGCAGCCGGGGTTTCCCAAGAATGCCTCTGCTTTTCCTAAAATCTTACCAACTCTTCTGCCCCCTAGCATGTCCTCACCTGTCTGGTCTCCCCTCCCAGCACTCCTTCCTTCTCCCAGTACCCCCATTCCAGGTATCTCTACTTCTCACAGTCCGCCCCCTCCATTCCTATTTTTCGCATCTAATCTCCAATTGCATCAGGTCCTCTGTGCCTCCGGGAAATCCCTTCCTGTGTCCTCCCACCCACCCACGCACCTACTTCTCCCACCCATTTCTCCCTAGAATTTCCCTCCCTAGAGTTCTCCTGCCTCAGCCCACAATACACTTCTGATACTCCACCCCCTCTTCTCCTTTGCCTTCTCCGGACCGCTGGAACTCCTTGCTTTCGGAACCCACAAAGAAGCAGCTCCCCTGCACATACGTATTACCTCCAGAACTACTCCAGTTCCCGGGGAAGCCCCACCCACCAAGAATTTCAGTTCACTCCCCAGAACTCCCCTAGTTCTGCGCCCCAGAGAATTCCACTTCTCTCCACAAGTCCCCCGCTTTCTCCTGTTCCCCTAACTCCCACACCGTTCTCCATTCCCCCTCCGGCACCCCCATTCCATCCCCCTAGCACGCCCCCGCCCTCACCTGCTCCGCGCGCGGCTCAGCTCCACTCCGCCGGCTACACAATAGGGGGCGGACCCACCTCCCGCCTCGGATGCCCCAAGCGCCTTCCGTCACCCTGGAGACCGCCAATCCCCGCCTGCGGCGGCCAATAGGAGCAGCAGAAGGAGGAGGGGTCGGGCGCGACCCTCTGGCGGCCTGGGACTTGCTGTTTCGGGCGAGCGGTACTCGGCGGCACGTGGGCACGTCGCCCCCTGGTGGAAAGCTTTGCGACTAGGCGCGAAAAGGCCCGAGGCCCGGCGGTTCAGGGCCTTGGCTCCAGGGATCGCAGGTACCTGCTCTCCCCTAGCTCCGAGCACGCTCTCCTTCCGATGCAAAACCCCCTCCGCTGTCCTAACCTGCCGAAGCCGCCGCCAGGATTGAAATCTGAGCCTGGGGCAGGAGCACCCGGCGGGGAGCAGGAATCCCTGCCCTCCTCCCAGGGGATCCACCCAGCTCCTCCTCTGATCTCCTCCCCCATCCCAGTCTCACCTCCGCCCATTTCTCTTCTGGCTGGACTGGAAATACCTGTCCGCACTGGCGAGCTCCCAGATCCTGCCCAGGCGCCTCCCGCAGTGTGGGGCGGGGAAGGCTGCGCCACAGCTGAGGTTGCCTAGTCAGCTCCCGCCGCAGCGCCCAAGCACCAGCCACCCAGAGAAACGGGCCCAGAGGGGAAAAATAGACGTCTTGACACGGGCGATTGAAAGGAGGAGTGAAATAAGTGATCATTTACTGAACCCTTGCGAGTGCCTCAGGCCACGGGCTACCATCCAGCAGGATCAGGGCTCAGGCCCTCGGAGAGTAGTTGATCTGTTGCCAGTCTTAGGAGCTCTTTGGGGACTGGTTTTCCACCCTCCCGCCTTCTCCCCAAGCCCCAAGGGGCTCACTCTCCTGCACATAAACCTAGGCAGGAAGCCCCTGCTTATCTGTTGGCCCTGCCTTTTTTCCAGTCTGGGAGGCCGGGCTCTTGGCTTCCGCCCATGCCCCATGCTGGTTAGAGTCCCCCTTCTGGGTGTACTATAGTGCCTGGCCCACGTGTCCTGTTTTCCCAAAAGCAGTGTCCTTGGTCTCCACGATTCTCCAGTGCATCCCACAGCCCCATTCACAGCCTAGTATCCCTTCTCTTGAAAGACACCTTGGAGGTCAGCATTCTTTTCCTCGCAGAGAAAGAGGGGAAGGCGAGGTCCAGAGAAATGTCAGGTATGGCTTCTGCCCCATGGCCATCTCCCAACCCCTGAGACTCCTCTTCTGAAACTCCCCAGGGTCACCAGCTCCTCCTGCTTCTGTGGGAGCCAAGGCACTCCCTAAGCCATGTCTCTGTAAGAGCTCCAGTCCTCTCCTTCAAAGTGTGTGTTCCTTGTGGAAAGGGACTGTGCCCCAATTGATGTTCCCTGAACAAAGTGTCCCAAGCAAGAAGCGAGTGGCACAGCAAAGCCCAGGTCTGAGATCTCACCCAGCACTCTCCCTACCGAATCCTACACCACCCCCTCCAATTCACTCACTACCTACACATGTCCTGTCACTTGGGTGGCTCCCAAGTCTCCCTCCAATCCCCCTACCCCATGGCAGCCGCGTAAGATCTGATTTTGGGAGGATGACCAAGTCTTGGGCAGTGGCAGATCAGGCCTGGGTGAAGAATTCAGGCTGGTTATTGGGCTCGGAAAAGAGCAAGAACACAAACATAAGGGTCTGTGCTCGAGGGGGGTGGTGTGTAAGGGGTGGGCGTTAACTCAGGGTAGGAGTCAAGAGAGGTCTGAGACATGGAAATCTGTAGAGACAGGATCGACAGGACAGTAATACTAACCACAAACAGACGTCAAGGGTCTAGACCTCAACTATTGATCCAGCTGAGTTACCATCCTTGTGGGGTAGGCACCAGAGGCCCAGAGCAGCTGACATCAGGGAGATGGCTGAAGGGTCGCGGGCTCACGTAGACCCAGAATAGACTGCACTAGGGGGTTCCTGTCTCCTTGGCAGTACAGCCTCTAGGCTGGGGTGGGTTGCATGGGAGCAGTTAAGTGAACTTGTCTGCCAGGGTGGAAGTAGGGCTATGAGAGCAGAAGAATCTTAGCAGGAACAGTATCGCCCATGAAGGATTCTGAGTGTCTGCAATGTTCCCATTGAGGAGTCGCAGATTCAGTTAGGTTAGAAGAAAGCTCTTTGCTTTTCTGATTTAAAATGTAAATGTTCTGTATGTTGGTGGGGAAGGGGATAGGTGGTGAGTAATAACATACCAATACCACACTGTGAAGACTCACTTCCATCCCCAAAGGCAGGTGTGGGGAAGCATGCGGGCTTAGAAGTGGGCACCTGGAGTATAAGGGAAGATGAGTTGGAGGGGAGCACCTGGAGTGGAAGGAAAGGCAGGGACACAGGTTTGCCGGAGTCACCTAGCTCCTCCAGAATGGCAGTCATCTAATTCGACTTTATTGTCAGACAGTGTTCTCTGTGAGAGTGTGGCCCTTTGGACTTCCACCTTTGGCCTCTGGGAAGAGGATAGCCTGGGGAGCAGAGGGAGGAGTCACTGGGCTCTGGGAAGAAACAAGGGTCAGGATAGAGCTCACCAAGGATGTGATCAGTCCAGGCTAGGGCCAGGCTTCCTTGTCTTTTTCAGTCTCATTCTGTCTCTCTTAAGTTTTTTCGTCCTTAGTGTCTTGCATCTTGTCTGGCCTTGGAGGAGCCACAGCCCCACGACCAGAGTTCCCAGCAGCAAGAGAAGGAGTAGTGCCTTGACCAGAAAGCAAAAGGAAGCCGAGGACTTCTCCAAAGGGTATCCAGGATCTAGGACAGAAGAAGGAAAGAGGGGGGACTCACCAGAGGAAGGGGTGAGGTCCAGGTGAGGGGGTAGACACATGCCCCAAATCTGACGGAGAGGACTCAAATTCACAGTCAGTTGATTTTCCTTTGTAAGTGTCTCTGGAAATAGATATTCTATTCACAGAAGCTCTAGAACTGAGATCTGGGGAGCAATCTCAAGCTGAATGAGAGAATAGAAAGGACCTTTGGAAGTTGGGAGCTCTAGGAAAAGGGAGGGCTCCTTACCAAATCCAGGGGTCAAGTCCCTATGGGAGGGAGTTAGGTTCTGGATTCTATGTACTGTCTTGCGAAGAACTGAGGGAGGGAGGTGGTGGCCCTGAGGCCTATAGTAGCTCAGGGATATCTGGGGTCCTGGTACCTGCACAGAAGGGCCCAGCGGGTATGAGACGGGAACTGATGTTGCTGATGGGGTTGCTGACCCTGCAGGTGTAGGAGAATGCATTGTCCCCAGGCCTCCAGGATGTGCGGAGGACAGAGCCTTCATGTGCTGTGTCATTGCTGTGTTCCTGGGATATCCAGCTGTAGGTCACATCCAGGCCTGCCTTCTCTACAGAGCATGTCAGAGACATATTACAGGGACCTTCCCCAGAGATCTCAAAGTTCACAGTGATGCGAGGCTCTGACAGCCGTCCTAGATGAAGGAGGAACAAAAAGGCCCTCTGGATAATCAGGGGTTAGATCTGTTTTCCTAAGTTCCTCAACACTGGGGTACAGGTGCCATCCTCTGATAGCCCCTGTACCCAAACAACAATAAAGCAAAAACTAACAAAACCCAGCCACTATACAGCCTATATTTCTAGGGTTCCCTGGGCAGCTGCTGAGGCAGACAGAGCTGCCTGTGGTATATTCCACCTCCCCTTTATGCCTTGCCTTCTGTCTCTTACTTTGGTACCCCACCTTCCTCCAAACCCTATTCTGTTCCCTCGATCCCAGAACATATTGTCACCCTCACAGGGGCATTAATAGGTTAATCAGTGTCTCTGCAAGATTCAAGGTAGAATATCAGTCAATGTCACAGGCACTAAGAAGAAATGGGTTCAAGTAGTGAGAAGTCACTGATTATTAGCCCTCAAATCATGCAGGAGGATAAAAGGCTCAAGAATGGAGGTGGCATTTACCTTCAGGACACAAAATCTCCCTGGGAGAGACAGGTCTACTAGAGATCTACACATAAAGCCTCTGACCTCTCTGTCTGTGTTGGGCACCTCCTCAGGAACAGCCTCCATGCCCAGTGCCTCGCTGTTCAAGGTTACACCACCTATCATGGCGGCCCAGATGCTGGTGTTGGGCACACTGGGGACTGTCTGCCTTCTAGTCCCAGCCCCTCAAACCATAACCGCAACTCCTGAGATCCTTCCTCCTTTGCATGGGAAGCTCAGGAAATCCAGAGGAAGCAGATTTTTGGTTCATAAATTAAACTCACGATAGACACGTAAATTGTAATGCTGCGTTGTAAACATCTGGGATGTCCTCAGGTTGACTTGAGCTTGGTAACGCCCCGAGTCCTCCCAGCTCAGATTGTTGATGTGCAGGGAGTAGCTGGGGTTCAGGAGGCTCACTCGACCCTGGTAGCGAGAGTTGGTCACCATGATGGTAGCAGGATGTCCCTCTTTCCCCGGCACCACAGTGGCAAGCTTTATGTGGGAGGACCAGATGATGTTCTCAACTTCTTCATCGAATGGTATTTCCAGGGGGAGGCTGATGGACTCCTGAAGGACTGCAACCACTTCCTCAGGACCCACACCATCTCCAGAATCTCCTTTGGCTGCAGATAAAGGAAGAAAAGAGATGCAAACAGCCCAGCTGGTGTCTCCGGGCTGCTGAGTCTGGCAGCAGGGCTGTGGTTTCAATCTCAGCTATCTCAGCTAAGCAGCTTCTATGGCCCCACACTCAATTTTGTCTTCCAGCTGCCTCTTCTAGTTTTAGCTCTCAGCTGCACCTACCAGGGGTTGGCTTTCATCTGTGCCCTCACCCTCCAAATTTTACCTTCTCTGATTGCCATTATGGGACTGCTCTCCCTTCCATATTCCCAGGTTTCCTCATCTCTTGGTCCTGCCCTGAAGCCATACCCTATTCCTCTTTACTCCAGAAGAGCTCAAGTATTCAACCCCAAGGAAGTGCCTTGCTAGCCTAAGGCCTAGCGGAACAGAACAGGGGAAGGACGCATTCCTGTTCTGCAGCTGTCGTCTCTCTCACCTTCCTGGAGCACCAAGAGGGGCAGCAGCCACAGAAGAGATGCCATGTCCGCAGCCCTGTGCACCAGAAGGTGCGACTTGGTCAGTCCCCAAGGCTGTGAAGAAGACAAGATGTCAAGAGGCTACTATAGACAATGACTGATTGACAATCCTGAGAAGAGGGAAATAATTCTTACCCTGTCTCTAGCCCTCTAACTTCCTCCATCCTCACAAAGCCCCACCCTGTCTATCTTGAGAAGAGTTCTCTCTCTGAGCTTCATTGTCAATCAAGATGGTTTACCCAAATGACTCATGTTTCCTGTCCGTCGGCTCAGCTCAGATCCCACTTCCTAAGTAAAGCCTTCCTAGACTCCCCAACCTGTATGTTCCTAGGCCCCCCAGACATACCACCTTTCCTGAGCTCTTAGAACACTTCCTATCCAGCCTTGGCAGCTCCTATATTTCTGAGATCATTTGATCTTATAAACCCCTTTATCTCCCTAGACAGACTCCGTCTTTTGGGACATCTCTGAATGTCCACTGTTTCTGGCTCCCATGCTTGACACATGTAGCACTGATATTTTGGAATGAATGAAGTCTTTCTATTTCAAGCTACTTATGTTCCCAATTGAGAGATTTATTCAGAGGGGGAAAAAATTGACCCTCTAAAAAAAAGCAGTTTGGACCAGAAAGCTGATCAAGGTTGTTAATATTATGGAAAGAGTTTAAGTCATTTTGTGAGGATATGATGTATATCAAAGCTATAGGAAATCAGGTTAAGGAATCAAAAATTTTTCTGATGGTCATAGCTGTCCAGGATGCAATGAGTGACCTTGGGAGGTAGTTTCTGCCTCTACTATTCAAACTAAGACTGGACAGTAACTTACTTGAATATTCTGCAGCATCTCTGGCATTAGATGTATAGAAGCAGATGTGACCAAAAGCAACTCCCTCTTTGTATCATAGAGTTTTCATGCTGTGACCTTTGACCAACCTAGTATTGTCCTTAGCAAGAATATCAAAGCTTTCTAGCTGATGATTACCTGTGTTCCTTAAAATGTAGCCATAAATATTTTTGTTAGTAATGGCCAGAATGGCATGACAACTGAGATAAATATCAAACTGGTGATAGTATTGATGATAAAGAATCATCTATCACAAGACCACCCAGAGGTAGGGACCCTGTTGATACTGCATTTTTGGTCCTGACAAGCATCATACACTATTAACGCCTGAGTTACACTATTAAAAAAGTACTATAGGGCCGGCCGAGTGGTGCGTTGGTTAAGAGCTGGCTTGGGACGCCAGAGGGCCCCGGTTCAGATCCCACATATGAGGGCCAGTGAGACTGCCCTCTACAGCTAAGATGCTGAACAGCAGCTCAACCTGGAGCTGGGCTGCCATGAGTCGCCACTGGCGACAGCATAGACTGCAGCCCCTGCTGCAGTGGGTTGCCATGGGCTACCGTGTGTAGCCAGCAGCCAGCGTGAGTGGCCAGCAGCCACAGTGAGTGGCCGTCCGTCCAGAAGCCGGCGACTGATCTGCCTCATCTGGGAAGAGCGCAATGATGGTGCCAACTTGGGCCAGTGAAGCAACGTCCCCCACAACTAGACTGAAGAACGAAAGGACAGCTACTTGTCTGTTCCCCTTCCCCCAATTCTCCAGCACTGTTCCCAATCCCCCAATAAAAAAAAAACAATCTTTTTTTTTTTTTAAAGTACTATAACAGGAGTCTGTTACTGGAGAACAATTTGCACAGAACTTCTGGGTCACCTGTCTGTTGCAACCCTACATTCCCATACGTAAATTGCCCTATAATACATTCTGTTATATTCTACGGAGTTGCCTGCTTTGTCTTTTGTTCTGAAGATACCTTCTTATTACGGTGGCCGTAACACTTTTGCCTCACTGTGGGACAGAGAAGTGCTCAGACGAAATAAACTTCAAGTTTCCTCTAATACTCAATTTTCTGAGTCTGCGCTGTGATGGGGAAGCAAGAATGGTGTCTCAAGACCAAGGGCACAGTGGAGGCAGATATATCCAGTTTTGGCCTTGGACCGAAATGTCATACCTTTCAGTTGGCAAATTTAGCACTCATACGCGTATTTATTGAGCGGCATCTATTGCTCTGGCACTGTCCTAAGTGCTGGAGCAGTGACCAAGAATTTTAGATCATGACTTCATGGAGATTATAGGCTAACAACTAACCACAGATGAGCAACTACAAGTTTGGTGAGTCCTACCAAAAGAAAAAATGATGAGCCTATAACAAGGGGATTTAGCGAAGTTCAAGTCCAGAGGGCCAGGGAAAAGCTTTCTGGGAGAAATAATATTTAAGCTGAGACCTCAGGGATGAGTAGGACCTCCTAAGTGAGGAAGAGAATGAAGTAGATAGTTATTAAAGTTCAATTTATGAGTATCAGACCTCAGGGGTTGGGAATTTTTGAAAAGGTAAAGCAAATCTCAGCCTGAGTATGACAACTTTTTAAATGTAATCTTCCCTTTAAAAAAAATTAAAGCAAAGGAAAAACAAAACAAAACAAGGTCATGTGCATAACGTTCAGAGTTTCAAGAATGAGTAGAGTATATCAATTAGGTTCTCTGAGAAGCAGATGCTGAAATTAGAAATGAAACAAGATTGATGTGTGTGGGAGGTCATGTCTGTACAAGATAAAAGGGGAAGAAAGCAGAACTGAGCAACAAGAGCCTGAGACTACGATGCAGAGCAGCCTCTGCTAACTCAGCAGGGTGCTCTGGAGCTAAGCGCTTGCTAAACAAAACTGGCACCTCACTCATGATTCATTGGGGGCATCCTCACTCGTATTAACTTGAAGAAAGATGAGAAAACATTGGAGACCAAATGCTCTTTGTGACCTGCTCTGTGGCCTCATCACGCTAGGGGTGCTATTGTGGATCTAGAGATTGTTGGAGGAAACCCCATGGAGGTAGAGGCACTGGCTCTCAAGATGGTGACCTGGGTCACAGATCCCCTGGAGGGGCCTCCTCATGATGATTTTGGGGTTCATTACAGATACTGGCATAGCAGAGTGAAGGGTGATGTTGCCACATGACGCATTGCCAGACCTTCTTGCCTCTGTTACCTCAGCACAGTATGGAAGGACTTTTCCCTCTGAGTGAGCAGGACAGAGGGAAAGCCCTGGGGGATTACGGTCAGAGTTGGAGACCTTCACCTGGCTCTGCCCCTTCCCAGCAGGTGCCACAGAGTGTGTAGACCAGGACTGTTGGTTTCCTTTTGTCTGGGTCAGGTCATCCGGTGGCCCCTGTGGCCCCATGCCTACTCCTGATGTAACTGTTAGAACCAAGAGTTCTGTTGTTCTCCGTGCTGTGCATCACTGTCCTCTCACCTACCTCAATAAATCTTGAAATTGCAAAAAAAAAAAAAAAAAGAGCCTGTACCCTCACTGCGCACAGTCATTGGCTGCAGCTGCCCAGGAGAAGCACGGATCCTGCAGGCACTGCAGCTGGAAGCTGTCAGTTAACTGCACCTCTTACAGCTGAAGATAAATGCTCGCTTGAAAAGGAGGTTCAGGAGCACCTTCATGGCTGCTACAATAAATGTGCTGGTCAGCCAAAAGGTAACTAACTGTGTTCAGGTTGATTAACCCTGTCTCCATAAACAGCACATTATGCTTATTGAGTGGACAAAGGTAATTTTATCCTCCAGCCCCCACCCTCCCCTTCTCACTAAGGCCTCCCAGTTCAATGTGGAGAAAGTACTTCTCAGGGCATGGTTTTCCAGTGCTTTGAAAAATCTGACTTTCATTCTGGCTCATGGTTTGTGATCCCACTGCAACCCCATTTCTGTCTCGCATTGCCCCGTTAATCGTACTCAGTGGAGTGGTCTTCCCCTGCCCCAGAGGAGAACCCTAGCCTTGGTTTCAGGTCTCAGTTCAGAATTGAGAACTTCCTGTGTCACGTGTACAAAATTCCAAACTTGAATTAGAATCAAACTTGCCCCGGTATGAGTCTGTTTCCAGCAGAAGCTTACCTTGGGGAGGGTGGGAGAAGCTCCTCTCTGCTCACTCGCAGCTTGCCCCTCCACCCTGCTCCCCTCAGTTCACCCCCCTGAACTCATGTCCCCTTCTCTAGGAGGGTAGGCAGGCAGGGGAGGTGATGAAATCGTTCTTACATAGCTGAATGGCTTTGCGCTCTGCAGATGGACTCTTTTCTCTTGAAAGGTAGTGTAATAGGTTCTTAACAGTTTCTACTGGTTTCCTCTTTCCTACCCTTCACCAAGGGTGGATGCATCTCTATTCTGGGTGGTCCTTTGAAACTACTTCCTCAGGCCCTGGACACCTTGACCATATATCTCATCTCCTTCCCTCTCCTCTCCACTGTCCCCACTGTAAGGCACCCAGGCCAAGCAAGCAGGCTGTGTCTCGTGGGTGGCGCTCAGTTGCCCACCATAAACATTTCTCACCCTGACAGATTCCAAAATCTACAACACAACACCACACTCCCGGCTTTCTCACAGGAGTGAGATTTCAGTCCACAGTGGGTTTTAGTTCTTCCAGGCCAGACTTAGGCTCCTGTCTCCTCAGACTCTCACCTGCAGGGCTCACATTTCAAAGCTCTCTAAGTCCTTCCCTTGAAGTCCCCTTCACCTGGCTCCTGGTCAGAGATAAAACATCATCTATCCTTTGGGGGAAACGTGAAGATTCACAATGAAGTAACAGTTACAGCAGGTCCTTAGATAATTATGTTTTGTTCAACATCATTTTGTTATAACGTTGAGAAGAGTAGGAACTTAAGTCTTGTTTATATCAATTAGCCTATGGTAAAATTGGTTTTGTTATACAACGTCGTTTCACTTAAAGTCTCAGAACATATCAACAATGTTAAGTGAGGACTTACCACCGTACTTCCAAAGAAATCTCTTCTAATCTCCCTCTCTTAATTCTCCATCCATGAATAAGAGAGTTTCAAAAACGGTGACATGGGTTCTCATTCTTGTTGTGAATTCCACAAGGGAAAGTCTCCCTCACACTGCTTTTGAATTCTTGATGCCTGTCACATGGGCACTTTAGAGTGACCACAGCCAGGAAAGTTCCAGCTGACACCTGACTTGTAGCATATACTTAGGGTTCCCTCACCGCAGCCTTTGACCCAGTGCATCTCTGCCTTACTCTGGCGGACAGTTTCATGATTGTGCCCCTGTACCCCAAAGTTTCATCTCTGCTTTTCTGCTTCAGGACTTTCCCTGAAGCAGTGGAAGGTCCATCAGCCCAGGAGCAGTGCAGCAGGGAAGTGGGGAGAGTGTACAGACGTCAGAGGCCTCTCCAGCCAGAGAAGCGCTGAGTCGGCTTATAGATGTCCCAGCTTCTCTGCCCCTCTATGGGACAATTCTGAAGCTTGTTCCCCATGGTTCTTCAGAGGGATTGATCCCTGGTTGCCCACAGCAGTAACCAGCCATTAACACACCCTTTTCTGGCTTTTCTCCTTTCCTCGGCTCATGTTCCTCATTCTTTCAGGTTTCCTGGATCATCTCCCAGAAAGACTTCCTCCACCCAAGCTCCCGTCAAAGGCCATCTTTGGAAGGAATATAGACTAAGAGGCTATTTTGTTATACATGATAAAGTGATTGAGCGAGTGAAATGTAGATCCCCTCTCTCTTCTGCCTCTAGTCCTTGGGTCTGGAAAGATACAGAGCCATATAGTAGAGCCATGGTCCTGAAGGAACCATCAGCAGGAAAGTTCCAAATAAGTCACCTTCTATTCTATCAGAGAATCTGCTGTGTACCTGACACATGGTTTGCTCTCTTTTCTTTTTCTTTTTTTTTAGTGTCAAAGATTATTTGGCTGAACCACAAAGGTAGCTGGAAAGAACTGAAACAGTCTGCAAATCATTGAGTTGCACCCAAAGGAGCCATTCTCACACAGAGGAGAAAGGAGTGTCCCTTGCAGACAGACTTGCCTGTGCAGGACCCCCGAGTTGGGACAGAGCAAAGCACATGGAGGCACAGACAGAATCCCAACCAGGTGGGACAGAGAGAGTGAGGTGGAGAAAAGCTGAAATGAGCGAGGCTGCAAAGATACGCTGGAACCAGTTCACCAGAGCCCAGAGTTTATGTCACACTCTCTCAAAAAGTTTACTATTTTAATAATGATGATGATGATGAAGTTTACCTATGACGGGCAGGAGAAATATTAATATATAGGATGGAGGTGAAAGGAGAACACAAGGTAGAGCAAATGTTTTAGTGCTGCTGATTTTTTTTTTCAAGCTGAGAAAAATTTGGACACATTTAAATGCTGAGGAGAGAAGCCAGTAGGGAGCACAGTTGAAGATGCAG